GGGGGGGGGGGGGGGGGGGGGGGGGGCGAAGGAAGGAACCCAGAAAATCCAAGAAGGAAGGAAGCGCTTCTTCCTCTTCCCCTAACTTCGTTTCTTCTCTCGAACACGATCCCCATGTGATCGGAATCGGAATCTCCATTCTCTCTGAAGCTCTTCAATCTTCTTCTTCTTCTCACCTTGCCGGAGGCCGTACCATGAACCCGTACGGTCACTCTATGGAACCCTCTCACTCCGATCCTTCGCCTGAATGGACCACTTCCGGACCCGATACTGCTCATGGAGGTTAGTTTATCCACTCTGCATTCCGATTTTCACTCTCGATTATTTCAGGTTTTCGCTACGATTCGACGCTATTTCCTGGTTGTTTGTTTGTTTGTTTGTTTCATTTTGATTTTCTCATAATGTAGAGCCGCTTTGGCCTTTGGGATCGAGGGAGCGGGAATCGTACCCTGAACGACCTGAAGAGACTGATTGTATATATTACCTACGTACGGGATTTTGTGGATATGGCTCTCGTTGTAGGTTCAATCATCCTCGTGAGCGTAACGCGGTATTCCTGTCGATCTTTTTCTGTTTCTGTTAATTTCCTCTAATTTAGGGCTTACTTTGAGGTTTGATTGGGATTTAAGCAATTTGATCCTTCCAATTGCTCTACTTCACCTTCACTTCTAATCATTTTCTTAGTTTATTTCTTGTTGTTTACTTCCGACTTTACGAAGATTCCATTATTTTTCAAAATGTTGTCGTTGAATTGTCGGCGAAGTGCTTCCCAACTTTACGCCTCTTTGTTTATTCGTTGATTTCGGTGGATTTTGCGCTGATCAGGTTTTAGGAGGTTCGAGACTTGCTGGAAGAGAGTATCCCGAACGAATAGGGCAGCCCGTGTGCCAGGTACTTCATTCTGGTGGTTCAATTGGATATGAAACTTTTGGTGTCTAGTCTTCAAGGGGAGGATCTTGGGCAATGTGCGTTAGTGAAATTCTTTGAGACTGTGGGATGGGGACTTGTGTGTTCATTGTGGCTAAAATGCGCTGTTATTGGTTGATTCATGTACATTGGTTGTCATTGATAATGCTGATCTTAATGAAATCTGCAGTACTATATGAGGACAGGAATGTGCAAATTTGGCGCTTCCTGTAAGTATCACCATCCTCAGCAGGAAAGAGGTTCTCTTAGCCCCGTCTCACTGAATTTCTATGGCTATCCACTACGACCGGTCTGTGTCTACTTCCTTTAGCATGTTTCGATCGTTTTATGACATGGAAACCGATACATTTATGTCTATTTATATATCCATCTAAGTTCTCTAACCTACAGGCTTTTGATGGCAGGGTGAAAAGGAGTGTTCTTATTATTTGAAGAATTGGCAGTGTAAGTTTGGTGCTACGTGCAAATTTCATCACCCAGAACCGGCTGGCTTGCAGTTTCCAGCACCATCACCTATTCAGGTTACACCAGTGCCTGCACCCTCTGTTTATCCTCCTGTGCAATCTCCATCTGCTCATTCGTCACAGCAATATGGAGTAATACTTGCAAGGCCTTCATTGCTGTCAAGCCCATATGTTCCCGGCCCTTATGGTCCTATGTTGGTTTCCCCAGGCGTTTTCCCAAGTTGGAGTCCTTACCCAGTATGAACCCTTCTCTTGGTCTTACTTGCCATTTTGTTTAATTTTATCTCCGTGCACTTAATGGAGCTGTTAACAACTGGTGCAGGCACCTATGAGTCCAGTAGCCTCCCCCAGTGCCCAACCTTCTGTTGGATCAGGGCCACTTTATGGTATGGCACACGTTTCACCTTCTGCACCTGTTTATGCTGGATCCTATCAGCCCATGCCATCTGCTGGTCCCTCTAGTACTAGCCAGAAGGAGCACTCATTTCCAGAAAGACCTGGCCAACCAGAGTGTCAATATTACATGAGAACAGGGGATTGTAAATTTGGATCCTCTTGTAGATACCATCACCCGCCAGAATTCGTTACTTCAGGTCCAGGTGTTGTCCTTAGCCAGCTAGGTCTTCCTCTGCGCCCGGTTAGTCTCTTTTTGCACCAAAATCTCATTTGAATTTAAATGATGCTTAGATTTTGAATATTTGTTGTCTATCTTATTTCTTGATTCACTCTCACTATCTTAACCATTCTATCCTATCGGATGTATTTAGTGATGGACATTAGCTTTTTTCTGATTCTCCACTTGCTATCTAATTAGTGAAAGTAAAAAGAAATTTCTCAATTCCAAAACTATTCTTGAAATTCTTGCCCAGGTGTATGGGGAATGCTTAATGCTCAGCCAGACATAATCTGTACTGTTCCCTATCACTGATGACTTAAGCTATAAAATTGATTATATAATGCTTTTTTGGCACTTGTTTGAATACCTGAAGAGGGAACATATCCTTAAAGAGTAGTTTCATTGTTTAGTTACAATATTTGCAGTCAGGTCTCTGTTTGAGTTCTTAACGTAGGTCATGCATTTGAGACATGTATTCTATTCTGGAAATTTTTCGTGTTGTGAAGACTAAATTATGGGGACTTTTAACCTCAATATGCCTGTTGTGTTAATTGCTGAGACTGAAATTAATTTTCCAATAATTGGGATTATCTACACTAATGGACTTAGTTTTTTCATCTTCCTGTCAATCATATTTTATATGTTTCCTCCTCGAGATCCATGTTGGAAGAGCTCAAATAAACTTCATCTTACTAAAAAAAATATTCCCTTTCCAGATCCTCGGGTATCTTGCTTGAGGACTTTTCGTAACATGGCTGTTAGATTTGAGGCACATGTAGTGCTTAAACTCCCATACATTTTCTGTATAGTTAGCGCTAAGTTACATGCTAACCTTCTTTGAGAGGGGAGAAAGGAAGCCGTTAATGGTAAACTTGTACTGCACTGTAATTTGCATGCCAAATAACGATTGAATTTTAGTCGTCTTCTTAATCTTCCGCTATGCAGCTGCTATATGTGCAAGTTAAATGGCTTGATTGAACTTATTAACATTACTTCAAATAATGCGTTTAATGCATTTTCTGGTAGCCATTTGTCTCTAGTTTCTAAATGTTTGTACGGTTGTGTTTCCCTTTTTAGCTGCGTAGGCAGAATGGTTGCTAACGTGATCTTTTGTCAGGGTGCACCACCTTGTACTCACTTCATGCAACGAGGAATGTGCAAGTTTGGCCCTGCGTGCAAATTCGACCACTCCATGGATCGACTTAGTTATAGTCCATCTGCATCATCTCTTGCTGATATGCCAGTGGCACCCTACCCTGTGGGATCAGTAGCCGGTACTTTAGCCCCATCGTCCTCATCTTCAGAGTTGAAGCCTGAACATTTTTCAGGATCCAGAAAGGATTCTAACCCTTCAAGAATGTCTTCATCAATGAGCACCTCTACTAGTGGATTGGTTGGTTCAACTACATCGAGGACAGAAATGTATTCTCATTCAAGTGTTCAACGATCTTCCCAAACTTCTGGCCCGTCACAGAGCAGTACCTCCAGCACCGCCAGTGTGGAAGGTTGTACTTGAAGCCAAGCTGCCTCAGGATCAGAGCATCCTATTTTTTGCCCAAGCCCAAAACCAAAGACCTTTTCTTTTCCTACTACAATGGTCCCATAGTCGTCCAGGTCTAGCATACCTCAGCTCTGACCTTCTGTGTCCATACAATCCTTATATTAAAATTTATCTCAGCCTGAATAAGTTATGGTCAACCTAAAGGAATGTAGCAAATTTCGTACAGCCTTCTGCCTCTGCCTTATGAATAATCCTGAAAGCAGCGATCAAATTAGGCACCTCTGCATCACGACTGCCTCTCTGGAGTTTGTGACCCATTTTTGCTGCTTTAATCACTCTTTCTCAAGACATACAAAATGGTCTGTTCCACGGTGATTTATGCCTATCTCTTTCCAAATTTTCCTATGACCAGAACACAAGCTTTCAAATCGAATTGAATATGAATTTGAAGCTGTGTTATTCCCACTCGTTTTTTTCCCTCATTTATTGTGGAAAAAGATGTATTTAAGACTCTGGGAGTCATCCCAATGGCTATGCGATCTTGTACGGGATTTTAATATCACGTTACGTACTGACATTCATTGCTTGGCTTGGCTTTGGATGAATTTACAAGGTTTACATTTCAAAAGAAACGTACAAATTCTACAACAATTTCTCCTCTCTTGCGTATGATATAATAGTCCTCCTGAAATTTTGTTAACTTTAGAGCTGAAATAATTCCCCCTCTCCTAACTTTTGATATTGTCTAGAAAAATACTATGGCTACCCTACAGGTTTCTTCTTGCAGTGGAAGTACGATAGCAATGATGATGCTTTCCCAACAATGCAATACTTGAGGTAATTCTTGCCCAATTTGTCTCTTTCTCTTAGGAAGCAACATTGAATATTATTAATGTCTGGCTATTGAAATTACAAGGCAAGTTTCATTGATGGTTTATATTGTTGATTCTTGGTAACAATATTCTTGGTTCTTGGTAACAATATTGTTGATTCTTGCCCAATTTGTCTCTTTCTCTTATATTGCAATGCTGATGTATGTCTGATATCCTCAATGCAGTTACTGTTGTTGGCTGATGTTTACCATTTCTTTTCTGCAAAAGGAAGAGAATCCAAATCTAAGCTATTCATCTTCTGTGTTGAATCCTTGTATTCTGTAAGGCAGGTTCCTGATTTAGTTTGTCTTGAGGAGGGAGGGAACCTTTTCAGATTCAGATCTCCATTTCCTTTTCTCCTTTCTTAAGGTTACTGTTGCTTTCTAGAACACTCTAGAAGAGACCCCATTTGCTGAAGTTAAGGCCATGGCGATGAAAAGCTTCGATCAGCTACATGGAAAGAAAATCAGTCGAAGCCCAAAGCCAAAACCAAGCAGCAAAACGGGCCGAAGGCTTAGAAGAAGCATTAGAGAGCTTTTGAAGCCGAAAGCTCTTTAATGATCATTTCTTTATTAATTAGGTGTTATTCCAATGTTCTTTTCATGGGATAGTTTTTTCGAACTTCCAACATTTTGGTCAAAAAAAAAAACATATGCCTCAACCAGTCGAGGTATGCGTCAATTACAACTTTCCATGGATTTTCGAGGTATGCTATGTTTTAGAAATGATTTTTTACCTATAAATTTATAACTCATATATTTCTATTTGTCTGTCTCTAAAATCTAATCACTTCCATTTAGTAATCATTTGAGATTTGATTTTTAGCTTTTGAAAATAAAAGTTCATGTATGCTACTACTTTTACTTATGGTGAACGAGTGTCAGCGAGGACCTTATACCTCAAAGGGAGTAGTAGATTGTAAGATCCCACATCGAATGGAGAGGAGAACGAAAAATTCTTATGAGCGTGTGGAAACTTCTCCCTAGCAGATACGTGTTAAAAACTTTGAAGGGAAGATTATCGAACATTACCCGAATGAGCTTTTGAAATGGTGGGATCTCCTCTCGAGGTGTCATATTTTAGGCGATAGTCTCTTGTGTGCTTTCTGTGTTTTAAGTAATAAAGCTTTGTTTAGCTCAAAGATATTCCCTTTGTTGTTTTAGGGTCCATTCTTACTTTTTTGTCATTATTTTTCTTTTCTTTTTAGTTTTTCAAAAACCTCTTGGCTCTTCCATTTATACTTTTTCATGAGTTTTATTGGATTATATAAAAGAATAAAATAAAAAATAAAAATAAAAATATGGATTATTTAATATAACCAATCATGCAAAATGCTTTCCAACTTTGTTTTGGTCAATTTAAAAGGACATTCATTTATAGACAAACAAAGAAACATCCTTAGATTAGGGTAAGCTGCATATTATTACATACAAATTGACCCTTAAAGATTAGGACAACTGTCCTTATCAAACCCTTTTCACAAATATACACTCACATCGAGTTTCACCTTTTTAATCTCCTAAAAATCTCTAAACTTTATCGACTTTTTAGTATTTAATGCTAGCCTACCCATGTAATTAGAAACACGTTAAGACGTTCACTTTTAACTCACATTAAAAAAGATATGTATCTTAGTGTACTAACGACAACTGAGCTATTTTCATTTTGACAAATGAGTTACATTTCGATCCCCTAAATAAATAACATCATTTTTAGTTATATGTTGTAAAAAAGGCGTGGCTCGTGAGAGTGAAAATTCAAAATCCCGATTTAGGTCAAAAGTGCAATACCTTAAGTTGGGCTATGCTCAAATTCATGGTATAGATTCAAATTAGAAGCGTGTTTCTAATAAAATTCCGAAATAATTTTATAAATTTACATATAAAATATTATTGAGATTGTATTTTTAAAATTTTCGACTCTTTAGGTCAAAAAAGGTAATCTTGACAAACTTTCACCGTTGAAACACTTCAAAATAGAGATTGGGTATCAGTCTAATACAAAAACATTGGAAATTCTGTCTTCATAAACTATAAAAATTCCATAAAGATGAGAGATAAAACAGTAGTTTCAGAGCTAGAACATGGATCATCTTCATATCACAACAGGAAAACAAAAGCCAGGAAGTACTTGCATGAAAAGAAGAGGGGCAAAAATAATCAAAGTAATGGATACCCAAAATCAAACACATCGCCAAAAGGAGGAGCATAAGTAGAACAAGTAGAAGACTGAGGCAACAAACCACCATAAGAACTGTTCATAAATGGATGAAAATCTCCATTTTCAGCCACCATGGATGAGGAAGAAGAGGAGCTATTGATTATAGCTGAGAGTTCATCACCATTACTCTTCCAAATTTGCTGTTCATCCCAAACTCCATCATTTGAACTACTATAAGCCATGGCTGAACCATCCAGACCTTGTGAATCAATGGAGTTTGAGGCAAAGAAGCTCAACTTTTGAAGATCATTTGAAGTAGTGGAATCTGAAGGGGGTTTCAAGCAATTATCAGGAACAATGCAGCTCAAGTAACCTGAGTTTGAATCATTAGAGAACAAGAAATTGGTGTCAAGATCATCAAAACAGGGATTTGAGGGCAGAGATTGAGTAAATGGGATGTTATTGTTCTTGTTGTTCTTGTTCGGAGTAACCATTTTAGAGTGAGAAAGGACAGAATTAGGAAGCAAAGATTGGGCATCAAAAGCAGTGAGAAGAGAGTGGAAAGTTGAGGTGTCAGAGTAAATGAAATTAGTTCTTGCTTGAGTGCCCTTCATTGATAGGGCAGCCCTGTCATAAGCCATGGCGGCTTCATGGGCAGTGTCAAAAGTGCCAAGCCAGTGCCTCTCTTTGGTTGTTGGGTCTCTAATTTCAGCGGCATATCTGCCCCATGGCCTTCTTCTGACACCAAGGAACCTTCCTGGTTCACCTTGTTTTCTTCTGCCTCTTCTCTCTCCTGCAGTTTGAGATGTTTGAGATGAGTTTCTTTGAATTAGAGCAAAACCCATTTGAGTTTGAGCAATTTCATGAACTGGGTAGGCTTTATCAGAGGCTTTGGAGGTAGCCATTAGAGCAAAAAATGAACAAAAAGAAGCAAAAAACAGAGGTTTTTTGGGTTTGGGATGAAGGGTTGAGGCAGCTCTTGAGGCTCTTTTTAAAGAAGAAAAAGGAAAGAACAAAAAAAGTACGTTGTAGAAGTCATTCTATGGAAGAACACTCTCCTTTAAGTCACTGTTTCTTATTCAATCCCTTTAATCACTCTGATATGAAACAAAAAGGTACAAATCTCATCAGATATAATATTTGAAAATGTTGATCTTTTTCTTTCCTAGTTCCCACAATAGTTGGAACAATCCCTAAAAGAAAAGAAAGGAGAAAGAATAATACGCCGTTGTTGTAACAGCTCAAGCCTACTGCTAGTAGATGTTGTCTAATTTAGTTAGTTACGTATCGTTATCAGTCTCATGGTTTTAAATCACGTTTGCAAGGGAGAGGTTTCCATACCCTTATAAGAAATACTTTGTTCCCCTCTCCAACTGATGTGGGATCTCACAATCCACCACCTTTGGGGGCCTAGCGTCCTCGCTAGCACACTGCCCGATGTCTGGCTCTAATATCATTTGTAACAGCTCAAACCCACCATTAGTAGATATTGTCCGTTTTAACTAGTTACGTATCGTCGTCAGTCTCACGGTTTTAAAACGCGTCTCCTAGAAAAAGGTTTCCATACCCTTGTAAGAAATGCTTCGTTCTCTTCTCCAACCGATGTGGGATCTCACAATCCACCCCTCTTGGGGGCCCAACGTCCTTGCTGGCACACTGCCCCGTGCCTGGCTCTGATACTATTATTGTAACAGTCTAAACCCACCACTAACAGACATTGTCCGCTTCAGCCAGTTACGTATCGCCGTCAATCTTACGGTTTTAAAATGCGTCTCCTAGGAAGAGGTTTCCATACCCTTATAAGAAATGTTTCGTCCCCCGCTACAACCAATGCGTAGAAACACCCATTAAGATTAGTTTAAGGAATGTTTGGATGTGTTCAATATCAAGGCCCAAACAACCACCAGTTTGCACATGTGAGTGAGCAAAAACAGGACCAAGAAAAGAACTTTGGCTTGTTTTTGTTGTCCACTTCATGATTTTCAAAGGGAGCAGTTAAGGTTATTCATATCTTAACAAAGAAAAACACTGAATTAATTATATCCTAAACAAGAGCTACTCTTTTGAGACTTTCTTGTCTGTTTTCATGCTAGCAAACCCACTTCAGCTTGCTATCCACTTACACGATAAAGTCGGTCAAAATATATCATATTTTAGATCTCAACTCTCGTGACGTTTTAGTCTCTCTACTTTTACCTCTAAACGTAACGACAACGAGGCCAAAGAAGACATGTAGTACCATATCAAGTCCATTAGGAATTCACTTAAAGCTAAGTAGATAGCTATAATCATTCAACTCAAATGAAAGACAAAGGCCAAAACTATTACAAAAACCAAAGTAGAGAGACTCATAATGTATTTTGACTAAGCTATGATATGACAAAAAGTGTTTCGCATGTTTGTTTGAAGACTGACATTCCCACCAAAGCAGTTCATTTTAATGAAAATTGGTGACTTTTTGCATCACTAAATGTATCCCAAATGTTTGAAAAAAGAGAAAAAAAACAAAGAATTCAAGGGGAAAACTGGCCTACTTTGCCAGAGAATAACAGAAGGAATGCCTGTAAAAAGTTGTACAATTTCCCAGCTTAGCTTTCTTTGAGACCTTTTATCAAACAGGTAGAGTGCATAACCTTGAAT